AAAACTTTTTTCTCAAGCTGAGAAAATGTTGAGGGATAGTATAGTCGTCAGTCTAAATGACTTGCTAGTCAATTTCTTTGTTATTTCCCTCTTAAAACTATTGCAGACTGTTGAATGGTACTCTATCACGTAGCAGGACGGAGCACTGTCTAAAAATATCGCAATGATTAAAAATCTACCGCCACTCTCAAACAACAGTTAGAGAAGGGCATCACAAATTTAATGCCGACTATATATGTTCTTCCCAAATCAAACTGATGAAACACGGCCTTTCATGATCTTTCATGCTCTCTTCCGCCAACAGGGTAATTTTAATTTTTCAAGCCTTTTTTCCAGCTGAAAGGGCAACGGGGGCTATTTTCTTAGGCCCAGTTCAGACGCCGAACTTTTCATGAGCCGAACTAAATACATTGAATTAAGTACATGAAAAGTTCGGCGTCTGAATCATTTAAGAACGGCTATTTGAATTTGGAACGGCCCAGCCGTTCTTCCCGCCTAGCTCAGCCGGGAATTTCGGCTAGTTCGGCGAATTAAGTTCGACGTCTGAATCAACAGGTGTACTTTTGATAATTTGGGTCGGTCCAAATTCAAATTAAGTTCGGCTCATGAAAAGTTCGGCGTCTGAACTGGGCCTTACATGGATTTTACCAGTGAGATTATAGTAATCACTTGTACACTTGAGGAACTTTGCCTGTGGTATTTCGTTTTGGATATTGAACGGTTGGATGTTATATCATCGAGAACGCTCGCCGGCGCGATCGTTTACATTCACTTCTAGGTTATAGAAATGAGCTTATTTTGAAATTTAACATGATATGATCTTTACATAAAGGCTTTTGGTATGTTACTGTGCAACTGGTAAAAAGAGTAACTTCTTCCTGTAAACTATCTTTTATCTATGAATTAAGGCTATGTTTTTCCCTTGTGAACCCAAGACTGGGTAAAGCCGAAAAGCAACCCAGACCGTACCTGTATTCTTTGTCTACCAATTTAAGCAAATCTTGCCACACTTTCTAGCCTTGTGTTTCGGTCGCTCGTCTTGTTTTTGAAGAACCCGTCAAGTTAGCCTCACTTCACTGAATATCTAGTGACCTGTAGAGCTCAGTGTGTCATGCCTCCTTCTAAAAAGAACTGTTTTCACGGCTAATCTATATTATATTTGGCAGACAAAACAAGATTTAGCATTCTGCGTTTAATCCAGTGTTGTGGGCTGCTCTGGCTGTGAATGTAGCTGAATGTTTTACACTGTTAAGTCATTGCAAGTACAAGAAGAAATCTTACAATGAATCGACGATTTTGGTATTTAGGAAATATAGCGAAAGATTTCATGTGTAATTTATGCTTGTTGATAATTACCCTGGGAGGACTCCTATACTATGAAAAGGACAGGGACGCTCGTCATCTCGCTCAGAGGTATAAATCAAGGATTCTGGTCTCACTAAGAGCCTGATTACATGGCGAATTTCTGCCCGGGCTGAAATTTCAGCNTCATTAAATTTTATCCGATATCCTCCAAAGGCGTAATCGCCAGCATCACAAAAAAGTACTGCACCTGGACTAAGCTTAGGCTGAATTCCATATCCGTTAAAGGCCTCGATATTAGTAGACAAGAAACGCAATTCTTCCGATAAAGGCGAAGAAAGAGAAAAGGAACAATCCTAGAACGAACGGGCTTGAATAGTTGCATGCATCTGCCTCGTGAATAACCTAGCAATAGGGCCGACCGCCAAATACAGCGAATTGATGAAGCCGCCCAATCGAGCAAGTTCCCTAAAAGTAACGCTCCCAGAAGAAATCATGGAATCGAGGTTGCTCTTAAGCTTGGTAATTTTCTTAGGCGGGACTCGGAACTGCATTTTAATAGTGTCAATTACAAACCCAGCCATTGACCCACTTGCATTGGTTCTAACATAGATTTCTCCCTGTTCAGCTTTAACCCGCTCAGTTTCAAATCCTTCTGATGTAATAAACTAGCAGCAGACGCAGAAACCCTCTCGGGGTGTCTAAATAGCACGTATCCGGAACTCTGACAAATGATAATCTATAGCCTTCAGAAATCAGGCCTAGGGGCCTGATTACATGGCGAATTTCAGCCCGGGCTGAAATTTCAGCCCAGCTAGGGGGGCTGAAATTATGTTGCGATTACATAACGAATTTCAGCCCGGGCTGAAATATTAGCCTCCGCGCCAAATATGAAATTGTGTGCGAAAAGTCTCCCGAGAATCAAAATGGCGCCGAGAACACGAATCGTGAAAATAGGTGCATTGCTTCTCTCGGGGTTTGACCTTTTGTTGGCGCTCAATTTTTAAATTTTTGGGATAGTAACACCCTACAATGATGATGGAACTGAAACGAAACCTGTCTCTCAGCCAGAAAGACGTACTTTTATGGAAAGAAAATATGTCCTCAAGCTTGCCGAGTTCATGGCTTCCTTGACAGCCTCGTGCTGTTTAACCTTGTCTCGATGTTCTTATATTCCATCTAAGCTTTGAAATTAGAGAGATTCTCTATTTTATCGCCTTTATTCCATTGAGATCGCTTCTACTTCTTAGCGGCAGCCATCTTATTTCCTGCTTTTCAGCCCGGGCTGAAATTCCGTTTCGATTACATGGGATTTTTTCAGACTTTTCAGTCTGTTTGCCCGGGCTGGATTGCGGCCCGGGCTGAATCCCTCTTCATGTAATCGCCAATTTGATTTCATGAGAATTTGTTTCAGAAGCCGGCTGAAATTCGCCATGTAATCAGGCCCTAAGGGTGTTCATGAAGAAACGCCCCTTTTCAGCTGTCAAAGTATCTTTTAATGTGCACTACCCGAAGAAATACAGTGGAACCTCGTTAATACGACCACCTTCGGGCCATGGAAAATTGGTCGCATTAATGGGGTTGTCGTGTTAAAGGGGTTCTTTAAATAAGAAATGACTGACTGAGCTTTTTGGGGGTCAGAATAAAGTGGCCGTAATAACGAGGTGGTCGTATTAACGGGGTGGTCGTAAGGCGGGGTTCCACCGTAATAATGAAAAACTCCCTGTTCCCATCGTTAGGCTCGATTTTCGCTGGTCTCTCGAGTCCGGTGTACTAGCGCGGGCTCCTTTCCTGAACAGCGGCTGGTAATCATTTTAAAGCACGAAAATCTGCATTCACATGTTCAGTTAACCACAGTCAGTAAACTAAACATAAGGCGAAACCTGAAGGACTTCAGTTCCCTCCTAAACCATCAGCCTTTGACCCAGTTGTAAGAGACATAACAGTTACTTAATATGGATTTTTCCAGGTTTTAATAATCATACACATGACTACTGAAAGTAAAAATTTCGTCTGAATATGACCAAATTTCGTTCGCCGAGTTTTCAGCTTTTTTTTTTTTTTGAAATAGGTTTCAAACGAAGTGAGGGGGCAAATATAGGTCTTGGCAAATCACTGGACTTTTGAGCTTGCCAAACATTTCGTCCATTGCTTGCTTTTTCAGTTCCTTTACCTGAATTTATTGTATGGCTAGCTCCGCGAGCGGGCAAGATGAATCAAATCCTGCGCTGTGATTGGCTACCCGAGCGGGCAAGATGGAGCTATCTTGNGTGTCCCGCAAGAAATATTTCCCCGAAAGCCATATAATAAATCCTTTATTGACCAAGCTTGTTCGGTCAAGATGGCTGGATATTGGCCTCCTTCTTTTTATTGCGAGTTTATGGACCGAGACGGAGTCGAGGTCCATAAACTCGCAAAAAAAGAGCTTGGCCAGTATCCAGCCATCTTGACCTCACACTTGGTCAATAACCCATATATATTAGGAAATTGCGGAAAATGGAAACATAAGTTTGGCAGAATTAGCGTTTTGGATTAACATAAACAAACGGCGCTCACAAAATGAGATGTTTATGATTTAATATGATCAAATTTTCATAAAATTAATCCTAAGTTCTTCTCTTTTCTATCTTAAATTTTGTTCTTTTTAGCAGAAAACTTCCCTTCAAAATGACAAAACTGTGTTGAATTTTGTCTCAATGCTTTAGTTCCGTCATTTGAATATCCCAATTAGCACAGATGCGTACGATAAATTGTTCATTTACATCGGTCCTGAAAAGCCCCAATGGGGAGTGGCCAATTACGTATACATTTCTTTTACATACATAAATAAGGTATTTTATACCATCAAACTTATTTTGTGGTCCTTCTTTACAGGTTAGCAACCTGTCCCACCACACCCCACTTTTGCTCAGTTATTCTGAATGGCTACACAACCATGTCACCCTAATGTTTTTGATATTTTTCACAGATGTCACGTGACTCCCGAAAGTTAGGGAAGGACTCAGCTTGGGGTCGGAAACGCAAGTCCGAGGATGTGCCTAGGTTCGATGACGTAAAACGGAGAAGAACGGGAAATGGAGAAGGAACAGACAAAACGACTCGGCCCATTGGGTTTAAAGAACTGGAAAACATCTGTAGAGAAGCTGTTCCAGAGACGGGAATTCTAGGACTGGTTCAGAAAGCCGAAAGATTTGAAGCCCTCTTAACTTCAGAAGAAATCAGACCAGATTTGTTGAAGTTGGTAATTTCTGCTTTTCGTCTTTTGTGCTCGGCGAACAGCTTAACGACCGGAAACGCGGAGAAGTTACTACGCTCTCCGGCAGCGGAGAATTTCATAACAGGGCCCGTTCTTTCCACGTTTGTCAAAAAGATGCCTTTTTCAGAATACTGGAAAGACGAAAGCGATCGTGTCACTGTGCTAAACGATCTGGCTGAAATTTCTCTTGCGTTGATTCAACGGCTCGGTGAGAAAATATTGTACGGGCTGCCGCTTCCCGAACTAAGTAACTCGTTGGATGAGCTAAAAGAGGAGAATCTCATCAAGGACGCCTGCGAACTTGAGAAGAAGCTTCAGCAAGTCAAGGAGTTGAAACATGAAGTGATTCGGCGGGCAAAGTCTGCGTATGATCAACAATCAGGGGCGGAGCCTCCGCAGAACTTCAGAGAGCTCAGCGTCATTCCGCAAGCAGCAGACCTTTGTTTCAAGCCTTTTCTGCGCGAAAACATCGTAGACAGAAAGTTTAAGGACCTGGATCATTATCTTGACGTGCAGTTTCGCCTTCTAAAAGAAGACTTCGTAATGCACCTACGCGATGGCATCAAACAGCTAACAAGAGAAAACAACTCCTTGGAAACGAGTCCTACCAAGAAAGTTAAACGCGCGGATGATGTCTCTGTGTACAGTGACGTCACAGTCCTGCATCCCGTATGCAACAGGAAAGGCCAGGTTTACAGAATCAGGTTCAACCCGTCTCATCCAAGGGTAAAACGAGTAAACTGGGAAAGGTCCAAACGACTCAAGTTCGGTTCGTTGGTTTGCCTTTCTTCAGATGACTTCAACACACTACTTGTCTTCGCAACGGTGGAAAATCGACGTGCCGAGGGGCTAAGTGTTGGTGAATTGGATGTGCGTTTTGAAAACGTCACGAAAGAGGAAATAAATGTTTTTGTCACAGGGAAAGAAAGGTTTGTCATGATAGAGTCGTCTGCTTATTTTGAAGCGTACAGACACGTGTTGGAGGCGTTGAAGGAAATAAAACCTGAAGAATTCCCTTTCCAGAAGCATATTGTGGAATGCTGTCGGGAAGTTGGACCTCCAGCGTATCAAGTACAAAGACAAAGAGAAGACAAAGAAGTTCTGTTTAATTTCACTGGCGTTCTTACAAAGAAAGAGCCTTCAATGTCTTCTCAAAGACGTCATTCCGATACCGTGAATTCGAGGAAGTCCATGAAGATGAGCCCAACGTCCAGCTCACAGCAAGAACAGCTGTCAGCCGTTAACGAATCGTCGAACAGCCTGGATGTTGCTATGGACGTCGAAGTGCCTCAAGAGATCTTTAATTGGCCAGACAGAAAAAGCCTCGGTTTCAATGAGTCTCAGATGCGCGCGTTTAAACTGGCGCTGACCAAAGAGTTCGCTGTGATCCAAGGACCGCCGGGAACAGGGAAAACGTACGTTGGTTTGAAGATAGCTCAAGCTCTCTTGCAGAACACCTCTTTTTGGCAAAACCGCGGTGAAAGATCTCCAATCTTGATGGTGTCTTACACGAATCACGCTTTGGATCAGTTCCTGGAAGGTCTTCTTCCAATGCACGGTGAGTTTACTCAGCGCTTTATATATGTTATATTTTTCACGTAAGAGATTACAGGTGATCTAGAAAGACACACATGCATAGATTGACAGATAGATAAATAAAGGTGACTCATCACTGTTCAGATAACTGTACAAGATATTCGGTGTACCGCGAACGAAACTATTTCTAAGTATTTCTAGAGGTTCTGACTTTGTCGTTAAACCTCAAAAAGATGCGCATTGAGCAGCAGGCTACATGCAAATAAACAACGGGAAATATGGAAAGAGAGGAAACAAACAAAACTAATGATTTTGGTGGCTCGGTTTTGACCAAAAAAGTGATATGTGAGCATAAGCTGGGGATTGGAAGCATAAAGTAAGGAAATAATAACTTGACGGTCGTTTATTAATTGACAGGTATAGTTCGCGTTGGCGGCCGCAGCAAAAGTGAAAAATTGAAGAGCCATTCTCTGGTGTCAATTCGTCGCCAACCATGCCAGCCTGATATGACGATCCGCAAGGCAAGAAACGCAGCTAAGAGGGATATTCGTTATGAGAAAGAATCATATCGGCGTTCTTCACTCTTGTTAGAAGCCTCAAGATCAAGCATTTTGTCGATGGATGTCTTTTCCCAACACAGGTATATTCGACGCCGGCATTATGCTCAATTTACAAGAAACCCTTGGAATGGATCGGTTGATGAAGAGCTTCTAAAGTGGCTCTACGTACAAAAGAAGGAAAGCTCGCAAAGTTCCCACTCGAAAGATGTGAAAAAGCATCATGAAAGAGATGACTTCCAAATGGAGTTTGAGGCGCGAGGATTCAGTTTTGACAACAGAGGGGTTTTGGACAAAGATGACAACGCCGTGCGTATGGGACTAGCTGTGCTCTCGTGGAAAGATGCTACGAACTCCGGAAAGGTGAGACAAAATTTGATTAGCGAACAAGCGATGTCTGATAACGAAGAAAGAGGAGTTCGTGATATCTACCGTTTGCCGAGTGAGGACCGTTGGAGGTTATACAGATTATGGCGGCAGAGATTGGTCAACGACCAAAGGCAGCAGTTGCAAATTTGCCAGGTGGAGTTTGAAGAGGCTTTAGCCCGTGATAAGGAAGTAACCACGATGGAAGAGTACAGGGTTCTTCAAAAAGCACGTGTCATTGGCATGACAACCACGTGCGCCGGCAGATACCGCACAATTCTCCAAAAGATTTGCCCCAAAATCATTCTAGTTGAAGAGGCTGCTGAGGTACTGGAGGCTCACATTATTACGTCATTGACGAAAGGCTGTCAGCACTTAATATTGATTGGTGATCACCTGCAACTAAGGCCTACTCCTGCTGTCTATGAATTAGCTACGAAGTACAAACTGGATGTGTCGCTGTTCGAGAGAATGGTGAATGTTGGAATTCAGTGTGAGAGGCTATCCGTTCAACATCGCATGAGGCCTGAGATTGCTGCCTTGATGAAGCACATCTACGACGATCTGGAAAATCATGAGTCAGTGGAGAAATACGAAGACATCAAAGGAATGAAGAAGAACATGTTCTTCATCAGCCACAGCCATTTGGAAGAATCCTGTGATGAGACGCACAGCCATGTAAACGAGCACGAGGCTCAGTTTCTAGTTGCGCTGTGTCGCTACTTACTACAACAAGGATACTCGTCCAATCAAATCACTCTCCTGACGACCTACACTGGACAGATGTTTGCCATTAGAAACTGTCTCCAAGCGACTAAAAGTGAAGAACTGGAACACGTACGCCTTACGACCGTGGACAACTTTCAAGGCGAAGAAAGTGACATCATTCTTCTTTCACTCGTGCGCAGCAACAAAGACGAAAAAGTGGGCTTCATCAAGGTTGAAAACCGCGCATGTGTGGCGCTTTCGCGTGCCAAGAAAGGCTTCTACTGCATTGGAAACTTTGATCTTCTCTCAGAGCACAGCGACATCTGGAGTAAGATTGTAGCCGATTTGAAAGCAAGTGGTAACATCGGAAACGCCTTGCCCTTTTCCTGTCAAATCCACCAAGACGAAATGACTGCGGAAACAGCAGAAGATTTCAGAGAAAAAGCTCCTGATGGGGGATGCCAGCAGCCATGTGGTGTGCGTCTGAAATGCGGCCATGCGTGCAGACAGTTATGTCATCCACGTGACACCAAGCACAAGAACTACCCGTGTGGAGAGCCTTGCGGAAGAACCATTAAAGGCTGTGATCATTTGTGTTCGAACCCTTGTAGCGAGCCTTGTATAACTCGATGCTTGGAAATGGTCGATAAGGTTTTGCCAGGGTGTGGTCACATTTTAAAGATGAAGTGCAGCGCTGACCTTAAGGATGCTGAGTGCAAAGAAAGGTGCGATAAAATCCTGTCCTGTGGCCATCGCTGCCAAAACTACTGTACAAAACCGTGCGCGACTGAATGCAAGGAGCTCGTAAAGAAAACGGATTGGCCGTGTGGACATGAAGTCACCATTGCTTGCGCGGCCACTTCAAAAGATTGTCCAGTTCCTTGCGATGGCACTTTAGATTGCGGTCACCAGTGCTCTGGGCATTGTGGTGAGTGTCGAATGGGTCGAATTCACAAGGGCTGCACAGAGAAATGTAAACGTGTGCTGTTTTGTTCTCATGGCTGTAGAGAACGGTGCAGCATGCCATGCCCGCCATGTTCCGAGGCGTGTGAAAATCGTTGCACCCACAGCAAGTGTGATCAAACTTGTGGAGAGCCATGCACTCCTTGTCGTTATCCATGTCCGTGGGAATGTGNAAGGAGCTCGTAAAGAAAACGGATTGGCCGTGTGGACATGAAGTCACCATTGCTTGCGCGGCCACTTCAAAAGATTGTCCAGTTCCTTGCGATGGCACTTTAGATTGCGGTCACCAGTGTTCTGGGCATTGTGGTGAGTGTCGAATGGGTCGAATTCACAAGGGCTGTACAAAGAAATGTAAACGTGTGTTGTTTTGTTCTCATGGCTGTAAAGAACGGTGCAGCATGCCATGTCCGCCATGTTCCAAGGCGTGTGAAAATCGTTGCACCCACAGCAACTGTGATCAAACTTGTGGAGAGCCATGCATTCCTTGTCGTTATCCATGTCCGTGGGAATGTCAGCATCATAAGTGCTACAAGCAGTGCCACGAGATTTGTGACAGGCCCAGATGTGACGAGCCCTGCGTCAAAATTCTGGAATGCTATCATGTTTGCCGTGGGTTGATGTGCGAGGCGGAGTGCATTTGTGCTATCTGCACAAAACAATACAATGGTGATCCTATTACCGAAATCTTCCTCGGTGGAGAGGCAGACGAAGATGCCCGCTTCATCAGGCTGCCAGACTGCAAGCATATCTTCGCTGTGTCTGATCTTGACAGGTACTTGTGGTTTTAAGCTTTTTTAAGTGATACCAAACAAAACAGCAAGAGTTGACGGAGGTTCAAACACTTACGTTTTCTCTTGCTCGTTGACTTGTGAGGATCGCTTGAGGGTTTTGGGAAGGTATTTTCTATATGAAGTCATTTTGTTGAGTTACCTTTGTAACGTTTCTCAACGTTTTGGCCTCGCAATAACGATATTGCATGAACTTTCCGTGAAAATTCCTGGACAGCTGAAAACCAAAATTTATAGAACCATTCTTCAAGATTAACCATTGGTTCAACTTCGTTAACTTTGTTTGACCAAACCTATGCACACATTGTGGCCTGTCCTATAAAATCTCCAATCCTCATGCACAGCTTATTCTCAGGGTCTTGGAGATCAAAATGTGAAAAGAGGATGGCAAACAAATATTTCCCAGGTTCCCCGCGACTATAATACTCCTTCGTTCTCAGAATCCCAAATCAGTAAATAAAACATAATATCGCCGGCAGAGGAAAAGCTGTTTTGATGCATTTAAGCTTTGCTCGAGAGCTAACAGTATTCATTTCGTAGTGTTTCTCACATCTGTCCCTTCTTCTTCTTTGTTTTTTTTTTTCCAGATATATGGACATGTCAAAGGATGCCAATACTGAGAGTCATGCGATTCAAATGAAAGCGTGTCCCCTTTGTTCCACTCCAATCCGTACGAGCTTGCGATACCGCAACGTTATTAACCAGCAGCTACAAGACGTAGAGAAAGTAAAGCTGGAGATGTGGAGGCAGATACGTAATGAAAGTGGGGGTAACTGTGGATTGAAGAAGACGAAGCGTGATTTAGCCAAACGCCTGGACACTTTGGAAAAAAGATTTGGCGCAGAACACACGAGGGATTCACTGGGCAGGCTGAAACGTGCCGTTGATATTCTTCTGGAAGTCAAGCAGGAACTGAAGATATCTCTCATTGACAACAAACTTACCGTTGCCCTGGTTGAGAACAAAGTGATGTTGATGGAGCGTCTTTGTTTCATGAGGGAGAAAGTGAGGGTTAATCTGAGACAACTGCCAATGGAAATCTGCAAAGAGTATCACTTGGAAAGTAAGTCTTGATTTTAACTTCTTTTAAAATTGAAGTGTCTTCAAGCTGCCAAACCACTGAAGACGGTACGATGACGAAACAAGATCATCAGATTTGCACGTGCGTTACACGCCACTGTGCGTGCATTCAACATCAATGGCTCTACGTACACGCGCGTTGTATACACCTGATTGAAAAAACGTTGTCCGAAACAAAGTATAAACGATACGACTTTATGGAATTACGGAGAGACGGAGGAAGCTTGGAATCTTGTGGATGATTATTATTCAAAGTTTCCACTTGGTATTTAATGATCACAGGTCAGCTTCCCGGGGTGGTGATTTAGAAAAACATTGATCGTGTCCACGATTTCCTGAAGGTAGCTAAGTTGGAGAACAAAGGATAATTTGAACGATATGTGAGCTTTGATATGAGCCATGCAGCCCATAAACCTAAGTCTTCAGTGTATGCTTTAGCATGCTGATCTCGTTAACCGCTTTAATGCAAGTACACGGTCAGTAAAAATGCAAATTGGTATTAGTTCGCAAGTTTCTCAGAAAAATCGTAGGCTACAATTTAAAACGATTTTTCCTTTGAAACGCTTCTCTGAACATAACCACAGATCCAATAAGCCCCATTGCAAAAACGCTTCTTGTTTTGAACTGAATGGCATGAAAGGATGAAGTAAGCCTTACGACTAACAGTTAAACGTATCTCAATTGAACAGGTGACCAAGTTGAAAATGAACTGTGTTTCCTTGAGAGGCGTTTCATGTCAATTAGAGTGACCCAAAGAGAGTTACGAGACATCAACACAGAATTCTCCAGACTCAATCTCCTACTCGAGTATTGTTTGCTGCGTCACGACATCAAGAGCCTGGCACTAGAGTTAGACGAACCTTCCTCTCAGATGATGACTGCAGTACAGGAGGGCCTGTCCAGCGGCAAGCGCATAGTAGACGAGGAGTTGGACAAACTTCTGAACAATATAGTGACAATAAGGTGTGTTTTAACAGTTGAATAGAAAATGACATAGAGGAATTTTAGAACCCTTTGGGTAGCAAGGATGGCGCAGTGTTTAGAGCGCTCTCCTCCCACCAATGTGGCCTGGGTTCGATTCCGGCCCGGTGCCATATGTGAGTTGAGTTTGTTGATGGTTCTCGCCTTGCTCCGAGGGTTTTTCTCCGGGTTCTCCGGTTTTCCTCCCTGCACAAAAACCAACACTCTAAATTCCAATTCGACCAGGATAGAGGACCTGCATGAAAACCAGATGAGGCTGATGTGGCTTCTTCTCTAAATATTGTAAATTTATTTTTATTTATTTATTTGTTTATTTATTCATTTATTTATTTACAGTGGAACCTCGATTTAACGAAGTCGCTGGGGACCGGCCAAATTTGTTCGTTAAATCGAGGGTTCGTTATATCGAAAACCTCGATATAACGAATTTGAGGGGAAACGATCAAAATGTTCGTCATATCGAGGTCATAGTTAATGATTGATTTGTAACACAGGTGACTTCTGTCACGCAATTCAAAGCAATTTTCGTCATCCAGAAGTGCTGCGTTTTGAGATGCAATTCATTAAGCATGGTGGCTTTCAGTATCAATTATTTTCACTTTTGAGCAGACGCGCAGCTTTTGTTTACAA